TTTAGATTCTCTGGTAAACACAAGTGTTGGCATAAGTCACTTTTTTTTGTAATTCTACCTAATTAACACCACTTGAGCTTGTAATCTGGCTATAAAGGATAATAAAACTTCAAAATATACATACCCCTGAAAAAGATCTACAACTTAATGCTAGAAAATAAATTGGTTAAATAATTTTTTTATTCATATAAAGTTTTGATCTAACACAGTGTTTTCCAAACTATGGGGTCCACACCTCAAGTAGAGGGATACAATATTACTGAGAGGTGGGGCATAATCTTGGATCAGCCATGAAATAAACTAGTTACATAGGGTGACTAAAATTTGAAAATGTCTGATAATGGGGGTGAGAAAATGGATAGATTAATAGTCTATATTCTCAGATTGGGAATTAGGGGGCACAAGGAAAAATTGTTATACTTAAGGGGTCTCGGGTAGAAAAGGTTGGAACTGCTGCTCTAATCTATCAGCAAATACAATGAATTAGGTAATTATTAACAAAAAACAGCATACAGTGACTGATCAATTAAGCACAAACCTCTTGAAATATTTCGATTAGAAAAAGCAGTGTTAATCTATAAATAAACTGGCACGCATTAATGAACAACAAAATGGTTCAATTACATATACTACCATACATTGCTGAAAAACAGCACAATATCAAATTATAGGTAAAGGTACAATGTCATGATGTAATCAATGCACAATCAAACATTATTGTCAGATTTAATCTAATGTTTTGAAGTAGATAACAAAAACAGTTGCACTGTTTTATTAATAAACAGTACCAACTCCATGTAATGGTGTGACTTACAGTATGTTACTACAGTGTCAGATGTTAGAAGACAGGTAACAAGAAATTACTTCTTATGAGTATGTTTGCAATCTGGAAAATGAAATCACAACAGCATGATTAATAAAAAAATTAGTTAAATCTTAATTAAAATATCATCAAAAATAATATTATTAGGCTCAAAGTTTAAGTCTATGAGGTATACCTTGATCATCTGAAAATGTAACAAGGTAATTAAAATTTCATGCACAAGTTGAATTTATGCTGCTACACCCCAGAGGCACTTTTATCATATTGCTTCCTACAAAAGAGCATTCAGAGCTTTAGAATGTAAGAATACTTATATATTTGAACATAGACTAATAGGTGAGCCGATTATATTATAGGGCTAATTATAATAATCATATAACACCCTACAAAAATGTTAGTGCTCACTAAAATAATCATATAATACCCTACAAAAATGTCAGTGCTCACTAAAATAATCATATAATACCCTACAAAAATATGTGCTCACTAAAATAATCATATAACACCCTACAAAAATCTCAGTGTTCACTAAAATAATCATATAATATCCTACAAAAGTCTCAGTGCTCACTCTGTATAGGTCCCTTAATTAGATGAGTAACCAAACATATGGTAATACAAAGAGAAAAAACAATCTTGTAAACATGATAAGCACACATTTGTTTGGTTTCTTTAATACAAGAATAAACAAGAACTTTCTCAATCATGCTCTACTTTTTATATACAAAAAGCATATGATATACACACACACACACACAACAATTAAGCCTTTACAACATTTATTGTTGTTTTACCTATTTTTCAGGTGAACTAAAAGATGACAATAAACTTAATCACTTTTTTTTCCTTTGGCTTTCTTCAGTTGGAGCACAGAAACCAGAACAAGAAAGATGCATTCTTCACACTGTCCTTTGGACCTCGAAAACTTCATCAAGCATCACAATGTTATTTTATTAAACAAATAAAATAAAATCTTCACTGAATGTGGAAGCATATATTTTGGGACATTATGTTGGCTATCTTATAACCACTGGCACAGATGTATTAATAAGGTGGTCTCAAATTCTGCTGCAAACCTGCTACCTTATGACATCTATAGTTCAACTGCTACATAACCCCATCCAATGGAAGATACTCAGTGACATAATACAACATAACCCCATTCAATAAGGGGCTGATTTATGCTTAATGCTTAGTCAGCTAAAAAAAAAAAAGGGGGGCGGGGTCCCGGCAGGCTCTATTCATGCCAATATTATACAACAAGCGAAAGCAAATAGTTTCAACAGATAGCTGAATAAATTGATAAACTTAATAAATAAAATGAGATATAACAGAGTTAAAGTAATGTATTTCTAAGAAACATTTTATATAAAGGGGCCTGATGTAGCTGACCATTTAAAATTGCCCCTACATCCAAAGGAAGACACTCAATGATATAATACAATACAAACAAGTTTTATATAGAGATCTGAGAATCTGATCCAATTTCAAACAAGAAGGTAAGTTTTTAAAGGAAATAAAACAAACACTTATATCAACCATTAGTTTCAAATGTATTCTAATCCCAATAGAATGGATGTCATACTGTTCAAATGAAAACAGCCAAATAATGAAACTGAAGATTATATCTCCAAAGTTTGAGTTAAAATGAGATATAAGCAACAAATTTATGTGCATAATATACACTTGAAACAGTTCAGATCATATCTTATGAGGTTGGCTATGTACTTATTTATAAAACTGTATACAGCATCACATTCTTTTTTCATGCATACATGGCTTGTTATGTACTTATCACTACTTTTTGTTTAAGCTGTACCAGAAATCATAGTTGTGAGATTAACTCGATTACTTACGAATGTCAATAAGTGACGTTAAAGTAATTGATTAATTGTAATTATGCTTAAATTGCTTAATGCCATGAAATTAAGCAAATAATTGAAATTAGTATTTCTGATTGTTCCAACTATCCAAGAAATAAAAATATTGTCGTCATATCTAATTATTATCTTTAATTAATTCAAGTTTGTTCAGCTTAATTGATTAGTATCATGACTCTCAAAAATAACTAATTAAAATTAGTGTTTCCAATTATTTCAACTATTCAAGTATCACATGAGAATAATTAATCAGTTGAATGTAACTGATTAATAAGCCTGAAAATTAACTGATCAGCAGATTCCACTAATCACCCAGTTCTGCTGGAAATGGTGTAAAGATATGCTACAATTTGAACTTTCAAGGCCACCTATACATATTCATCATTAATTGAATCTTCAATTTTTTTTTTTGTCTGATACTAATTTTCCTGTAGTGGTTGAGAAAAAAAAATCACATTTTTAAAGTACTGTTTTTGTGGAAATGTTAAGCAATTTTTACATTGTTAATGTTACATATACAGGACATAAAATATGTATGTTTTGAGAGGAAATATGCACAACCTAGAAATAGCTACAGCTAATTACAAAAGTTTAGAGTTTACAACTAAAAACTTTAAAACATTTGAAATATTTGGACAACACGTACTATATGTATGTTTTTCAATAACTGATGAAAAACTTGCTACTACTGCTTCAAGTAAGAATTAAAATTTCTCCAAAGAAACATGAATATATGGAAATAAGGATTTATCAATTATATAACATAACACAACTTTTTGGGACAACATGGGACCTATTGGTCCATCTCAGCAGTCCATCCTCTAAACTAATTAAAATAAATAAATAAATAAAATATTTTAAAATCAACCTTTATCATTCATATACTTATCAAGCTTTTCCTTAAACTCACTTAAATTTTACTGCCCCTACAACATCC